CAAGAGAAACAAGAGGAACAAGAGAAGCAAGAAGAGCAAGAGGAGCTAGAGGAGAAGCAAGAGAAGCGAGAAAAGCAAGAGAAGCAAGAAGAGCAAGGGGAAAAAAGGCATCAAGAGGAGCTAGAGGAGAAAGAGAAACAAAAGGAGCAAGAGAAGCAAGAAAAGCAAGAGAAACACGAGAAGCAAGAAGAGGAAGATGAGTTAGCAGGTACCATTAAGCGTTTTGTAAGGTGTTTGATTAGATATTTGCTGTAGGTATTCTGCTTTTCATTATAATTACAGCACTAACAGCACAATACGACACCATACTGAAGTATTGCAGTCGGTAAACAACATGTCCACCAAGTATTTCTTAAAATATAGGCGTTTCAACCCTGTTCAATTCTAAGTCGGTCTATTAGTCTAATAAGATCTAATAGATCGCGGAAATCGTTCAATGACAAACCTATTGTAGTAGTAGTGTGTAGTGCAGCCCCAATATAACTTAAACATTGATTCTAAGGTGGTATGAGTATTCGTGCTAGTAGTTATAATATTGTTACAGTTTGGTATATCGTGATGAGATGGAGCTGGGATTAACTCACAAGGTACTCCGACTGTCGGATAGCTGATATATTCGACCTACTGACTCACAACAACTTGGTAATCTTCGGTTAAGTATAGTAATGCTTTATTTCTCTATTCACTAAACTGCCCATAACCGCGAGTTCAGAATAACGCAATGTACGTAAATCCTAAGTTATTGCCTGGCCGTGCAGGACTTATAATCTGCAAACTGCAAACCTCTATTTTACACCGTATAAGCTTCAGGCAGTATTCTATTTTGGGCCACATTACACTCAGTTGTATATTTGAAATAATATAGCATGACAATATATTAAGTTAAAGATAAATTCTGTACGCTAAACTTGAAAATATTATCCTCTAGAATAGTTTTTGAGGGTATCACATTCTTTAAATTCTCGATAATACCGCAACTATCGCAATTTGATGGCAATAAGCAGTATTTAGCCTGCGCAGCCAGTTCAATAGTACAGTTCCTGCAGCAATCTTCACTTTAATTATCTTTTCATGGATTATTTGCACTTTGTATTTTCGAGAAGCTTGTGGCAACGAAGCTGAGTTTAAGTATATCACAACATTGCAAGTGTCTATAATCGTCAAGGCAAGTATGATGACGCTCTATCAATGTATAACAAGTCACTCAAGATGAAACTGACATAACTTGGCGACAATCATCCAAGTATTGCTACAACATATAACAACATTGCAAGTGTCTATAATGATCACTTACACAGTGTTAAAATCTATAAGTTAAACTGTTGTCGTACAATTTTATGATCTTAAGCTAAGCTATAGTTAGGACAGTATTATAGGCGATAATGTTCTTGCGGCAATAGCGACTACGTTTGAAAAGAATGACTTCTAAATGATCTTAGTCTAGCTAACAGACCACTCACATATTTCTTGATGCAAAGTCCGACTCTAAACTTTAAACTTCAAATAATATTTTAAAAACTAAACTATAGCATCATTGACTAGTAATAAAGCCACAGACATTTTATTTAACCAACAACAAATCAACAATTTACTTGATGATGCATTTTAAGCAACACATACGGTAGTATGTTGCTAAAGGTTAAGATCGTATAGTATTTCTTAGCACTGTAAGAAGACTATCATTTATGCCTGAAGATAGTATATTATTACCATATTTGAGATGGATATCAGCCCATCTACTACAACAAAGAACGTCTTGTTATTACTATTATTAGTTAAGATAAATTAAATATGTATATTTCAAAGACAAGCCGATTTTGAGTGATCATTTTGAATTCCAAACATACTCATGAAATCATCTTATTGATAAAACAAATTTCGGTTTCTAGTAAATTTACTTTATTACATAGATTAGGTTCGTCTCACAACTACCAAAAACTATCTAGCTTCAATAGGACTATATGAATTACAGCGAAAGTTCGTGATTTATATACCCTTTGTTACACAATAAATTTTACACATTAAAATCATATCTTGCCAATTAAGTCGCAAGATAACAGTTTATCATCGCGCGAGCTATTCGTCATTCACGCGTCTAATTAAAGCATCACAATGCAATTCTCACAGTACTAACATAATTAGTGCTACCTCTATTATTATCATGCAATCTTAACATGAACATCTCAATAATATCTAGACGATACGCATTGTGAACCTCTTCTACAAATAGATATCTTCAAAATCATACAATCTAACCTACGAGTACCACTACTTTCGTACAGTCTTCCAATCACAATCCAAGCTATATTTGGGGCTGCACTACATCTTCATATTATGCTAATTTCGATAACTATGACTTAATTGTTCTTTACCGATACTTGCTAGCAATTAGTAAACAGCAACAACAACACTTGATAAAAATTACTTCTCAAAGGTTAAGCAATTTCTGAACAAATCATTACTACAATATTAGACGTGTAACTAGATAGTTCTATTTATTCTCCGATAATTATCACTAAAATAAACTTCAATTTTCAATGTCACCTTCGATAGAAAATAAATTTTAAAATAATATACATGTAAATGGACCTTCATTTCAATTCATATGCGAACAGTATGTTAGAGTAGATATAGTTCGATGAAATTATTTTGAAGAAATTACGGTAGTCGTTATTAAAATGCTCGAGTCAATAAACATAAAATAAACATACAGATATTTTGTTACTTGAAATCATAACTTTCAACAAAAATTGTTTTTTACACTGATGCTGCTGTAGATTCTACTGTAGAGCTTGGCCAACAAAGCGAGAAACCTGAAGATAAATCGATCAACCAGTCTAGAAATGAAGAACAAACGGCAATAGATGATTTCAATGGTTAGTTATAAGGAGGAAACTTTCCTTGCTAATATAATTAACGTTTATGTATAGAAGAATGATTCAAATTTATTGTATAGTCATTACTATTATGAAACAATCATTATAGCCAATAGAGTATGAGAATTAAATAATGATTAACGGAAACACAGTCTCTGAGTAATAAGTATCCTTAAAACAGCCACATTTAACCTTATGGTATTTTACATTGCACTGTAGAAAAGTGCTTTTCCACTATTGCGAATGAAATTGGAGATGAATGGATGCAGATAGCAAGAAATTTAAATATTTGTGATGACGATATTCAATATATAAGTATCCAACAACTAGATCATCATGTAAGTAATAGATCGGCTTTAGCTAATAAGATGCTACGTCTTTGGCATAAGAAAAATCCGTCACAAGATCATTTGATAGTTTAAGAGC